AAGACAGAAAGACAGACAGACAGACAGACAGACAGACAGAAAGAAAGAAAGAAAGAAAGAAAGAAAGAAAGAAAGAAAGAAAAAGAAAGGAAGGAAGAAAGAAAGAAAGGAAGAAAGACAGAAAGACAGAAAGAAATGTATTGAACATATGAATGTCATCCTTCAGAAATGTTTTGGTGGGGAAAAAAATGAGAACCACCTATCCACAGTGAGTCTGCCAACAAGTACACCAGGTATTGTGACAAAAGTCACAAAAAGGCCAAGTGTGGTGGCTCATGCCTGTAATGCAAGCACTTTGGGAGGCCAAGGTGGGCAGATTCCTTGAAGCCAGGAGTTGAAGACCAGCCTGAGCAACATAGCAAAGTTCCGATCTCTACAGAAAAATACAAACATTAGCTGGGCATGGTAGCTGTAAGTCCCAGCTATTCAGGAGGCTGAGGCAGGAGGATTGCCTGCACCCAGGAGTTTGAGACTGCAGTGACCTATGATGATACCACTATATTCCAGCCCAGGCAATAGAGTGAGACCCTACCACAAAAGATACAAATACAGGAATACGTGCTAGAGATCTCTAGCATGGAGGCCAGGAATAACTAACTGGCCATAGCTATTCCTAAAGCTCACAATAATGGCTCCCTGAATTTATCAAGATATTAATGGCCTTTTGATTACCAGCCTCTGGCTAACTGGGTTAAAAAACAAAGAGAAAATCTTAGGTGTCTTAGGTGCAAGGTGGATGAGCTTCCCCAGAAAGATTGAGACCAAATACATGATGTAGAACCCCCCAGACAAGGTTCCATGTTAGCCTCGGGGGAAAAACCTGAAGATACAGGATACTTTGTAAAACTACTGAGACACAGCCTGGATCTACAACTGCAGAGCAACTTTATTTTTAAAAATTCAGCATACTAAAAAATATTAACTCTAGAAAAAGTAATAAAGTAGAAATTACCATCATCATTTATAAAAATACACTGTATTGTAATTAGGGATTATTTTGGTGGAGGGATGTGGGAAAGAGGACAGAAAGAAAAAACAAAAAGAATCTATACCTACAAGTGAAAGGAAGAGAGGATGCAGAAGACTCATACACTAGAAAGAACTCAGTGTCAAAGGGCAAAAAGCTGAAATTCTAGTTTAGCCAAAACCCATAAGCACTGTGTCAAGTAGATGAGCAATAGTATTGCTGAACATTGAGAAACTGAGTTGAAACAAGTGAGCAGATGTGTAAACGAAACCTTATTTATTGCTTACTTCAAATAACCAAAAACCATATGACTAAAAGGAAATCTCAAAAGGTTACTTAACCCCAGTTTCAGTATCCAAGCAACAAGACGGGAACTGAGTTACTCCATGCAGACAGCTGCTCACTACCCAGTCTTTTTTTTTTTTTTTTTTTGAGACAGGTCTGACTCTGTCATCCCAGGTAAAGTGCAGTGGAGTTATCATAGTTTACTGCAACCTCAAACCTCTGCGCTCAAGAGATCCTCCTGCCTCAGCCTCCCAAGTTGCTAGGACTGCAGGTGCATGCCAAGACACCCAGCTACTTTTTCTATTTTTAGTAGAGACAGGCTGTCACTCTTGCTCAGGCTGGTCTCGAACTCCTGACCTCAAGCAATCATCCCGCCTCAGCCTCCCAGAGTGATAGAATTATAGGCATGAGCCACTGTACCTGTCCCTGCCCAACCGTCTTAAGGACTGATACACCAGGCAGCAACTTGATCCTGCCAGGACGGCACAGGGAGCCAGATCCAGACACTCTGTGTGAGCCCGAGGATAGACACACAGTGGTGGCTATAAACCCCAGGTCTGTGGGAAATTCACAGAAGGTTTTCAGCAGTAGCTGGTGTCAGTACTCTGGAGGCCTGTCACAACTCCCTGCACTAGGAGGCAAAGCTCAGTGAAGAGAGTATAAGGGGGGAAAAAAGCAACCAGCCATTTTAACTTTAGCAGAGTTTTGTCATTAACAGAGAATTTCAACTTCAAGTTTACAGAATTTCTTAAGCCTGATCTGTTCACTCATCTCCAGCCCTGATGCTGTCATAATATTATAGAGCAACTAACCTTCTAATATGGCCAGGGCTGCTGGGCTGGTTTTATGTGGAGGGCAGGGTAGGGAGCAGGATTGAAAGGGCAAGAAAAGGAAACATGCAGGGTTACTACTTGGCTAGAATCAAGGCCAGGGGGTGCCTATAAACACAAATGCGTCATTTAGAGACTATAAGATTATATTTCTTACTACAAACTCATGAGAGTTTTTATGGTCCAGAGAAGGTAGAAATCAAAATCAGGCCTTCCTTGCCTAGCAAATAGAGCAAAACAATCACAGAGACACCAAATACATCGACATGGCAAAGAATAAAATAAGATTATCTGCTTTCAGCATTCCATGCCTAGCCCTTTTACTGTAGAGACCAGGCAGCTTCCATTAAGCAATTTTTTAGAAAGTATGCACTCAGTTAAAAACAAAAACAAAAAACAACTTAGAGTATTTCCCAACACTGGAACATCCTATTCCTTAAGACCTGGCTTCAAGTTTCACAAAACCATCCCTAAGTGCCCTCTCCCACATTCTGCAAAACTCTTACTTCTTTGAAGTAGAGACTTCTCCGACTCCTAGGCAGGCAATTCTACATCAAAATTATATACGATTTTGTGCTATTTGCTAAAATTATATACAGTTATAGAATGTTTACTAATTGTTTCATGTGTACAAATGCCTTTTTTTCCCCAAAGAAAATATAGGAATTACTTGAGAACAAGGTCTAGTTTTATTCTTCAGTTGTCTGTTCCTCAGTCCTCAGGCCCGAGCCGAGCAGAGCACGGAGGAGACAGCTAATACACACACAGCTTGCGAAATCTCTCTCCCTGGAGAAGGGGCCGAGTGCTGTTGTGTTTTCACAAACCACAGCACCACAGCTCTGGGGCTTTCTGTGGATGGGGGCTGCCACTCCATTGCTTCTGCAGCACCTGTGACTCTCACCTCGCCTGCTGCCAGCTCACAGCAGCCACAGGCTCCCCTCCTGCCCATTTGGTACCTGGACCTGTAACACAAGCCCTCAGCAGGATCTTCTGCCTGACACCTCCCACTACCCCTCCCGAGGGGAAGAAGTAGTTCGCACAAGACCATACAACTCGGCTGGTGCCCTCATTTAATCAGGCTGCTGCAAATGGTTGGCCAAAAGCAATAAGGGCATGACTGAGAGACTGTGGGAGTTTAATATAAAAAAATTAATAAAAAAAAGGGGGGGAAGGAGAAAGGGTCTACCTTTTAATAGGGCCCTAATTACCCAACTCATAGGATCAGCCCAAAGGAGATGGGAGTTTATTTCGGGGGTTTTTTTTTAATTATTGTTTTTTTTATATATATATAAATTGCTGCTATGTGTTTTCTTTCCTCTGAGCAATTATGCAGCAAGTACGTAAAGAGGAGAAAAAATATTAATTAAATATAAGGTAATTGTAGAGTTGGCCTGGAGAGAATGAGTCTGAACTCTGGACGATCGCAGGCTACTAGGGTTTGAAGACTGCTCAGGGCCTCCCAGAAAAGAAAGAAATAAAAATACAACCAACCAACAAGCAGATGCACAGTACAGCAGGAAAAGAGCAGTGTACAGGAACAATAGCAAAGGGTCTGCAGGGCTCCAAATACCCAGAACCCAGCAAGCCTGCCAATTGCTTAGAGTTCCCAATGAGTTTTTCTACTCATGCCCCCCAAAGATGGACTGGCCACTCTTCTGGTGACCAGTTAAATCAGTAGCTCAAAATTCAAAGGGAGACTGAGGAAGTAAAGGACTGAAGAGGACGACCATGTTCAGTTTAGACTTTAGTCTAAAGCTAACCACAACCTGGGCCTGAGGGGCACCGAGGCAGGCGCCACGGGAAGCACGCAAGCTCTCCCCAGAGACTGGCCAAGCAGAGCCTCCTCCGGCTTTCATGCCACTGTGACCTTAAGGAAGAACCCAGGCAATACCAAAAGACTGCAAGGAGGCCACTGTGGGAGTGCTGGGAAGAGTGAGCCCCAAACTGGTGATGCAACAGCAGGTGACATGAATGACAACACTACTCCCCTGAATCAGCCCCAGCAGCGTTTGTATCACCTCAGCCCTTCTACAGCTCAGCCAGATCCAACTCATCCTTTGCCTTGGAAAGCCTTAGTATGTGCTAGAATTCGGACTTGTTCATACCAGCTCAGGGACCTCACGTCATCTCCTCCCACTGCTGCCAGAAGGAGAGTGAAGAAAAACAGGTGAAACTACAGGCCCTGTTGAAACAAAACCTAGGCGGTACACCCCTAAGCTTTCTATCACTACTCAAAAGGAGAAAAAGCTCTGTAAGGTTAAAACTAAAGCTGGCTCTCCCATAAAACTTATCTGGTTTGTACAGAACCAGTTTTACCACCTAGCCCACAGCAAACCCTGAAAGACAAAATGGAACGAAAAAGGGGCAGGCAGGCTGGCCACCAAAGCAAAAGCACTTAGTAAAGAAAATTACCTTTAGTACCTAGCAAGCCTCTTCCCTATCAAGAGTCTAAAAAGATAATGTTAGCTATGACTATCACAAACCTAATTACTAACCAGGCAAAACCAGAATTTCCTCCCTTACCTGTTCTTTAAAGGCCACCTGAGGTGCCCGCGCCCTGAGGAGGAGAGAATGGCTATTCCAGACAATCAAGAGGCAACCTGCATAGGCCCAGCAACCTCATGCCTACTCAGCCTCCTAAGGTTTCAGGCATCTCACTAATTACTATTGATCAGCCACAAACAAAGTGGTGCATGACCATCTAGTGTGGATGCTTTTAGTTCCAGAAAAGACCAGGCTTTACTAAGGAGAGATCTCACTAGTCCTTGCATCTAGAAAAGAAGTGAGAGGTCACTGACAGAGGCAGTCTCCACGTAACATCTACCTTTAAAGGGACGCTACCAATGCAAAACTGCAGGATCCTATGGTTTCTTGAAACTCACATAGCATTTTAATTATTAGAAAATGATACCACATACCAGCGGCTCTCGAGGCAGCACATTGTCACTTCCGGGAGTAGAGCTTGGCTGCAAAGAAAAACATAACAAAAATAAGATCACAGTGCCACCCAATGGACATCAAGAAAACCAAAGACGTTCTATTTTCAAGCAACACATGCAGATACCTCTTTCTCCTATTTCTCGCCGGTTTTTTGTGACTTTAGAGTGTTCTGCGGTGGACTACTTGTAAGAAATAGCCCAAGAGTGTGAACTGGGCAGGGAACATAAAGAGATTGTTTCTGGGTTCACTGTCCCAGCATCTCAAGAACGAGGCTTGGTTTTGCTCGGGAATGGCCCAAGATCAGCCGCTGAGCAGCAAGGGTTGGTGACTATCTCAAAACCTACAGGAGCAGTCCAGAGAAAGGGCTTGAAGAGACAGCACCTCTTTTTGCCACCTCTCAACGCCAGTGGACTGGGAAGAAAAGCAGAATGAAAGTGGAGAGCCAGACTCAGCCGCAAGGGGGCCCCAGCTGCGCGCGGGATTCTTCTGGGCACCCACAGGATGTGGAGCCGAGAAGCCACTAAACTATGCTGGTTCCTACTTACTGCCTGTCACTATGGACACCACCCCACAATAGTAAAGCAAGCCCCAGGCTTCAATCCTTTTTGGAAATAAGCCAGTGACTGGCCAACAAACAGACCAATGCACAGGCGAGCAGGCAGCACTGCGACAACTTCCTTGGCCGTCTCCTCTCCTGGGACCACCACCTCACCCTCACAAGTGCCTTCAACCCTTGACTGATCTGGCTAAAATGTAGAGGCAGGGATAGAGACAGACAGACTCTGAAGAAATTTACCAATCTCCAAAAGAATAAAACAAGCAGATTGAGTGAGCTATGATTAGTTTACTGTTACTGATGTTCAAGTCAATTGCCAATTATCTACAGATAATATCCAGACGAGTGCAGCTAATCTGCGTGTCCCAGGAGCCAGGAGCCAGGAGCCAGGAGCCAGCCTCCAGCCTCCATTTTCCTCCTGCTAGACCAGATGGCAAGTGCCAGGCCTCCTAGGAAAAAGGAGAGAGGGTGGGAGAGGAAAGAGTCCAGTCCACAGAGCAGTCTCAAAGATTTGCTCAGCCCAGCTGCCTCCACATAGCTGGCACATATAGCACAGTGGCAAGGACTCTGCTGGATGAAGGACTATCCCTCCATCCAAAATCCTGTCTCAAGAGCTCTGCTGTCCCAGGACAAGAAGGTCAGCCGGCATGAAACTAACCAGAAAGTGTGGGTCAGTCCCAAAGAATCTGAGCAAGTTTTCCTTCCCTCCTCCCTGACAAGGCTCCAGGTATCAGTAAGTTCACACCTTTAGACCTCCAGTCAAGACCCCTCTGAGCTCTACATGCGACTGCCTTCCTGCCTCCTCTCAGACTTAACCTGTCCCACAGCAGACTCACAGTCCTCTCCATCTGCCATTCACATCCTCTTCCAGCATTCCCTGTTGGAGGGAACGGCACAAGCTTCACCTAACTAGAGCCCAAAAGGCCAGCCTTGACAGTTCCTTCTCCCTACTCCCCAGAGCTGACCCATTATCGAGTCCTGCCAATATTCCTTCCTAAGCGTCCATGGAATCAATGCACCTACTTCTCTCCATCTCTACTGCCATCACTTTGGTCCAAAGCTATCAAAATCCCTCCCCTGGTCGACTGCAACAGCCTTCTAATCAGTACACCTCCACCCATGCTGGCTCTCTTCCAACTCACTTTCCATGATGCAACAACAGACTATCATTTCCAAACGATGTCTGATCATCTCATCCCTTATCCACCCAGTAAAACGACTTTAATGGTTTCTCACAGCTCTTAGAAGACAAAAAAACTTCTCAGCATGGCCTACAAGGCTTTGCATCTACTCTGACTACATCTCAGGTCTGTCCTCAACAGACACACTGGCCTCTGCTTCCTCTGTCAACTGGCCTTTGTACATGCTATTCTTTCCTTTCCCTCCTTGACGCTTGAACTCATCCTTCAGATCCAGCGAAGATACTTCCTTGGGGAAGTCAACCTGTGTTGTTCAAGGGTAAACTGCAAGGTGCTGTCTATCTCTCCCACTAGATTTTAAGCTTCTGGCAGACAGGCACTTACTGAAGTAGCTTTAGCACCTAGTATATTACTGGTACTCAGTAAAGAGGTACATAATTTATGTGTATATAGGTTATATATCTTATATATAAATGTATATATTGTATATATATCTTATATACATATATAATTTAGAGACAGGATCTCATTATGTTGCCCAGGCTGGCCTTGAACTCCTAGGCTCAAGTGATCCTGATGCCTCAGCCTCCAGAGTATCTGGGACTACAGGCGCTTGCCATTGAGCGTGGCTGTTTTAAAACTTAAAACTAAGGAACCACTAGTACACGTAAGCCCCAAACGAAGCAAGCAGAGGATCATGCAGTGTCTTGCCCTGGAACATTTCACCCACAACCCAACACAAACGTGGCCTACTCTAAATGTAACGTTGTGGACCAGTGGTTCTCAGCCAAGGGCAGTATCACCCCAGGGGAGATTTGGAAACAGGTGGCAGTGTTTCTGGCTGTCACAATGACTTAGGGGTCCCAGTGGCATTTAGAGGGCAAGGGCCAAAGATGTTAAATGTCCTGCAATGCACCCAGTGAAGAACTGTTCCACCCAAAACACCAACATGACACCTTGGAGAACCCTGACCACCTTGCTTCATTATGCCGACAGGGACAGGCTCCTATCTGAACATGCACCTCCACGTGCTGCTTGAAAGAAGGGCAAAGGGCTGCGCAGCTGACTAGTTATTGGAAACCGATCCCCAAGCTTGTGTAAGTCCATTAGTCTCACCAGTCCAGCTCTTGCGAAAGCCCAACACTTTCTCAAACACATGCCTCCACATCAACTGGTCAAGTCTATTTTCTGGCTTGAGATAAATTCCTACAAATTAAATTCCAACTTGGTCCTGGAAATCTTCACAGGATAGTCTATGATTTTAAAAAGAAAAGTTAGGAAACTACCCATTGACATCTATTGCAAAGGTATAAGAAGTAGGCTCCAAGGCAATCCACATTCAGGATCCTTAGGGTCCTGAATAGGAGAATAGAAAAGAAAGAAAACAAAGCATAAGACTGCTTTAAAAAACAAAAAGATAAGAGGCTAAGCACAGTGGTTCATGCCTATAATTCTAATGCTTTGGGAAGCCAACGCAGGAAGATTGCTTGAGGTCAGGAGTTTGAGACTAGCCTAGCCAACATCGCAAGACCCCGTCTCTACAAAAAATTTTTTAAAAATTAGCCAGGCTGGCCGGGCGCTGTGGCTCACGCCTGTAATCCTAGCTCCTGGGAGGCCGAGGCGGGCGGATTGCTCAAGGTCAGGAGTTCAAAACCAGCCTGAGCAAGAGCGAGACCCCGTCTCTACTATAAATAGAAAGAAATTAATTGGCCAACTGATATATATATAAAAAATTAGCTGGGCATGGTGGCGCATGCCTGTAGTCCCAGCTACTCGGGAGGCTGAGGCAGGAGGATTGCTTGAGCCAGGAGTTTGAGGTTGCTGTGAGCTAGGCTGACGCCACGGCACTCACTCTAGCCTGGGCAACAAAGCGAGACTCTGTCTCAAAAAAAATAAAAAAATAAAAAAAATTAGCCAGGCTTAGTGGCTCACACCTCTAGTCCTAGCTACTCAGAAGGCTAAGGAGGACTGCTTGAGTCCAAGAGTTTGAGGCTGAAGTGAGCTATGATCGCACCACTGCACTCCAGCCTGGGCAAAACAGCAAGATCCTGTCATTCATTCATTCATAAATAAATAAATAAGACAAATAAAGACCACAGTGGGGGAGAGAAAAATGCCTCTCGTTTGAGAGACAAAGGTGTTCTCACTTCTGATGCCAAGGCGCCAACCTTCCCCAACTGGAAGTTTAACCCAGGTGCTGACCTGCTGTACAGCAAAGATCAACTTCACACGTAGCTCATAGATTTGAACAACAGGCAGGACCTTAAAGTCTAGGAGTACTCATCCTACATCTACCAAAGGACTGTTACTCCAGATACAGCCTCAGCCAGTCTCTATAGTTCCTTGCTGGGAAGAATAGGATTTAATTCCACAAATATTCTTTGAGAGGCAGTAGCACAGCGGAAAGTACACAAGCTTTTGCATTAACAGCTAAGTGGCTTTGTGTGTATTACTCAAACTTCTCTGACCCTCAGTTTCTTCATCTATGGGAATAATACCATCACCTCCCATTTAGGATGAAAGCAGATAAAAATTATATCAAGTCACTCCTCTGCTCAAAATCAACCAATAGACTTCCATTTCTGGCTGTGATGGAAAATAGAGACCAGATTTCTCTCCCACTGTAAACAACAAGAAAACGAAGCAAAATAAATAAAACCACTGTTTGTAGACATTGGAGAGCAGGCAGTACAGGACTGTGATCTTTGACAGAACACAAATAAATGATTTGAGCCCTACAACCACTCTGGCTTTCTGCCAAGAGGCACTTTTCAGAGCACTTTTCAGAGAGGGAGGAGGATCCCCAGCAGAGTGTGGCAGTCTCAGTTGAGGAGACAAGGATCAGAGTTCGAGGCTAAGACAGCTGAAAGTTGCAGGACAGAGTTCCAGAGAGGAAAAAGCAATGCAGCAAAGCTCCAGAAATCCGCATGGGGGTTCCCTTCAGTCTTTGCTGAGTATTACAATTTCTGCATGCATAGGGTGAAACTCAACAAGGATGACAAAAGGAAATGAGGAGGAAGCTGTGAGCTGAATAGTTCTCAGGACTCCTTCATAGAACTCACAATTCCCAAGCAGTCAGAGTAGAGTGTCCTCACTGATCATTCAAGAATTCAGCAGAGACATTAGAAGGGCCACAGCTTGGTAGGGGAGTCAAATTATCCCTAGAGTAAAGGTTACACTAGAGTCACCCTAACAAAACTTGAAAACAAGACTTGAAAGAATAAAACTGAACCACAAAAAATTTAACTGCCTACCAAAACAAAGCTCATTCTTTTTTTTTTTTGAGATAGGGTCTCGCTCTGTTGTTGGGCTGGAGTGCAATGGTGTCATC